CAGGTTTGTGTGTTGCTGGGTTCCACTTCAGGATAAATAAAAATAAGATTTTTATAATTGAATTTTTAAGAATAGGTTAATTTTTAAAAATTAACCGATTTAAAATTAAAGTTATGAAAATGTATGTATTGACGTCATTTAAATGAAATAGTAATATTCAAGCTGTACATTTATGCTGTCGAAATGTTGTGATGAACTGCTGTACCAGCTTTTGACAACAGTGCCTCTTCCACAGGCACAAAGAGAATATTTTCTTCATTTCAGTTTAAACTACTTCAGTTAAATGGCTAATTCACTGAAAGCTGAAAGACTGATGGAGATTTAAAAACAAAAAAAGACTAGCTAATTCTCCTCCAATTTATAAATAAAAATAAAACGTGACAGGATGAGATCTACTGGTTCTAAAAGCTTGAAGACCACAGTAATAAGAACAAATCAGTTTAATTTATTATAGATAATACTTTGTTTAGTAAACAAATTTTAAATGTAGCATGTTTTTATAAATGTGCTGGATATAAAAAGTTTAAGATATGTTTTACTTTCTAACTAAAATACTTAAAATCTAATAAATAAGAATGTTGTTTCTATTGTTAGAAAATGGTAAAAGTAAAAAATTAACAATTTGAATTAATATACATAAGTACAGTATACCCTCCTAATTGCCAAAACATATTTATCATACCAACCAATAAGAACCAACCTTTTTATATGAAATAAAATAGGACCAAAATGTAAAACAAGATTAAAATTATCCAAGTAAATATTTCCTACTTACTGAACTTAAAAAAAATCCATCTTGCCAATCCACCCACAAAGAAATTGTTGTTAAATGGAGAAATATATCCAGAATTGTTTTAAACAACCAGCATGCATAAACAAAATTCATGCTTTACAATGATGCTGAGAGATACTGATCCAGCATTCATTAATGACAAATGCATCCTTCTAACAAAAACCCACACTTCACAGAGTCAGATTTCTGGCCACAGAAATAGAAAATGCACAGCCAACATATTGCACTGCAAAGCCCATATAGCAGAGGAGGCAAGACTGGCAAAGTTATGCTAAAAAGAACTGTCTTTGAATCAGTCACCCAAACATGTCATAGGGGTAAAACTATGAGCTTCAAAAGGCTTGTCTATACTAGGAAGTTTCCCTGTTGATGGTAACAGAAGACAGCAATTCGTATCTAACCACAGTTTACTTGGAAGTCTGAACACAATCAGATTACATCCAGCACCATTTCAGAGATTACACTCAGCAGCCACTCAGCTATACCTATTTCTAGTACTAGTAGTCAGCACCAGGGAAATTCACTAATGTAAACACAACTATACAGGCTAGAAATATAGCAAGCAAGATTACTTTTAAACAAAAAAAATCCTGGAAGCCTGCACAAGCTTTGCACTTACAGACTGACTGAATCTTCACACACACACACACACACACACACACACACACACACACACACACACACACACACACACACCCACCCCAGCTACCTGTGGGACCAAAGCATAGGCAACTCCTTATCTGATCATCTCTCACCTTTCCATAAAGACCCTCAAAGGCCTTGCCTATACTCACAAAATTTCTCAAACTATCCTTCCACTGTATTAACACTGGTAATTAAACTAGCATGAACTGGTCATTGGCATTTTAAAAAGTGTCACCTAGATGTGCTTTGAGCTGAGTTAGCAAAAATACTGGTTAAAATGCCAATGGCCAGTCTATACTAGCATTCACACTGCTAATACAAATGTAGGGATGTAAGCAATTAGTTGACTAGTCACTTCCTCCGCCTTGCTGCCTTTATCAGAGAGAGGCAGCAAGGGAGTGAGGGGGGTGGGGGGG